TTTTTTTTTTTTTTTTTTTTTTTTTTTCCCAACCGGTAAGTAATAATACGCGTGTAATTTTGTTACCCATTTCGTTCGTTGAATGGGAGTGGGTGTGCATTTCAGTCGCAGAAGGGGAAGCTTTTTTTTTTTTTGCGTTCACAAAAACGCATATTTTCACGTACATGTGAATTAGAAGAGAATACGAAGGTGTAGTTTGTCATATGCACAGAACACGCTTGAAGCCTAAAGGGCATGCGCAAGATTGTGTACTACATACGTGTTGACTCACGTACGTACTAACGATAACACGGACGACAAACATGGTGATGAAAACCTTGCTGCAGGGGCGTAAGCTGTTGGACGCAAAGAACAGGGTGATAATCACAGGCAAGAACTACATATGCTTCCAAAGGAGCGCGCTTCGAGACAATGTAGTGAAGAAGGAGACCCCGAAATTTGAGCAGAAGCCTTTGGGGTCGTACCCAGTCCCCCCCGAAGCTGAGATGATGTGGAGAAATAGACATACGGCCTATGGTGGGTACATTCAACAAACCGTCTCTCCCTTCCAACAGAAAATTATGTACCCGTTTTGGCACATGGCCTTGGCCAGATGGTGGGCCAAATTTTCATCCTATGTCTGGTGGTGGATATGGCCCTTTGCAATAACGAATTTGATTTTGTGGAAAATGTTTCGAGATGCGAAGAAATATGTCGAGCAGAAGCATTGGTACTGACGTGTCCGAGGCGCCTTTGCACGGAGTGCCCTCTTGAGCAGTGTCCCCTCAGCAACTGTACACACTGAAGGGCACATGAAAAAAAGGGGGGACAGAGTTAACAAAACCGGAATGAGAACCCCATTTGCAAGTCATCCGTTTAACGTGCATTTTGTGTTTTTCGCTGGAAATGAACTTTGCAAAATCAAAATAGCTATTTTTTTTTTTTTTTTCCATTTTGGAAAATTAGTGCAGAATTTTTTTTTTATTTTTGCACAAATGTAGCTGCACGTGCATGTAATTTTTGAATATTATTATCATTTTACCTGACCTGTGCAGTTTTTTTTTTTTTTTTTTTTTTCGAAAATTCGCACAAATGGATAGAACAACATATAGTTCTTTTTTGCTTTACCCCTTTTTTGTTCCTTTGCCGATTTGATGAACATGTTGGAAGAGCCTAATCTTGTGCACACACAGGACAGGGGTATACTTTTCGACATACGTTTTAGCTCGCACATTTTTTGCGGTGTATACGAACATTTTATCGTATCTCGACTGTTTTTTGTGCACCCCCGGAGTTCTGCTTGGGTATGCGCGCGTTGTAAGTGCCCATCTGCGGAGCGTTCATAATGCGTATCGAGCACACGTCAGCGCTGCTAAGAGAACAGAGCAGTTTAAGCTCCCGTGCAGGTGAGCCATTTGTACGTGTTTGTGTTGTGCATGATTCACATGAGGGAAAAACATTAACTTAAGGCAAAAAAGAACAAACCGTCCAAGAGGTACACATAAGAAGCACCGTCGGCGGGGTTCCGAAAAGAGGCACGTGAACTGTGGAGCCTTCACAAAGTGGATAAACCTTTGCGGTCACAGGGGGATACGCTGTGGGTTGTTCTGGGTGGAGACCCCTTTTTTTCGTACAGCACGCCCATTTCGCCGAGAGGTGCGAATAGGTAATGAATGCATTTTCGAAACCAGCAAGGAGGAGCACGTCTTGCATGCAAAATGTTAATGAACACATTGCACCATGCCAAGTTTTGGAGAACCGCCTTGTCGAAGACGAGAAGGATTTTTCAAAATGAGGCATACACTGCATTTAACGGCAGCGACAAAAAGAGGCACGCCTCAAGTGTGTATGACCACGTTCAGGCGAAACAGGAAAAAAGCAAAAAAGGAGCAGCACCCACGTTAGGCCCTGAGGAAAATGCACACGAAGCCACATCGCAGCAAATGGAAGCACCACCCATTAGGAGCCAACACGAGGAGAAATTTAACCAAACGATTAAAACTTTCTATGTCGATAAAAATGTTTTTTTTCTTGTAGGATGTTTATCATCCTTGTACAGTGTATTTGTGTATGACTTCTTCACAAACAGATGTGTGCAAATATTTTCCAATTTTTTTTTTTTTATGTTTCATTTTACTAAGAAGACGGTGAATGTATTGGCCTGCATAGTACACACTCTGTTTATTTTCCTTCAAGTGTGCGTTCTGGTCATTAAATCCAGCGCCAACTTGAACTTGTCCCTCGGTGGATGAATGCGCCCGGGGGGAATACACATTTTGCAACGTTTGCACGATCTTTTTTTTTTAGTAACCTGTTCGAACAAAAGCCCGAAAAAAAAAAAAAAAAAAAAAAAAGCTAGAAAAAAAAAAAAAAAAAAAAAAAGAAAAAAAAGTGAATAAAAATTGTGCGCAAAATTGTGTGCAAATGGGT